CTATTTTGGGCCAAAATCCCTCTGTCCCGATTTTTCTATCCTAATGTCCCTCTTTTCTAGGAGCTCCATATTGTTGGTGTATCTGAGTGTATAACAGAGTTCCACAGCAATAATACTCAGGGCCGGCGTGTCCATAAGGCGGCACAAGCATCCACCTTAGGGCGCACCGGCCCGGGGGCCCCAGATTAGAGTGGCCTGCAGGAGATGGGTGCACAGCACTCCCTCCTGCCAGTCACTCAGTGTAGCGTGACCGAGCGGAGAAGACAGATACAGGAGGATCTGTTTCCTGTACCCGACCGGACTAAGAGGTAGTGCTCAGTGAGAGAGCACTTCCTGTCAGTCTGCCCGAGTACAGGAAACTGAAGCTCCTGTGCCGCTGTGTGCTCCGCTCGATTCTGCTACAAGAAATGTAGGAGACACACTGGGGACCAAGGGGGGGGAGAGAAGGAACACTATGGGAAAGGGGAAGGGGGGAATAACACTATGGGAAAGGGGAGGGAAGGGAAAAGGAACACTGGGTTAGGGGGACCACTAAAAGAGAAGGGAGAGGAACACTAAGGGGAATGGGGCGGCACTAAGAAACAGGTATGGGGAGGAACATTAAGGGGAATGGAGGGTACTAAGAGACAGGTATGGTGGAGAAGAGGAACACTAAGGGAGGGGAGATGAATACTAAGGGACAGCGGAGGGAGGAGAGAGTAACATGAAGGGACAGGGAAGGGAGGGGAGAGAAATACTAAGGGACAGGGAAGGGAGGGGAGAGGAATACTAAGGGACAGGGAAGGGAGGGGAGAGGAATACTAAGGGACAGGGAAGGGAAGGGAGGGGAGAGGAACACTAAATGACAGGGAAAAGAGGGGAGAGGAACACTAGGGGACATGGAGGGGAGAGGAACATTAAGGGACATGGGAGGGAACCACTAATGGACATTGAGGGGAGGTGAGAGAAACACTAATGGACATGGAGGGGGAGAGGCGCACACAGGAGGGCCTGAGTGGGGAGAAAGACACACACAGAGAGATATGAGGGGGGAGAAAGACACACAGATGGGCCTGGGGGTGAGAAAGATGCACAGAGGGGCTGGGGATGAAAGCAACACACAGAAGGGCCTGGGGGTGTAAATACAAAGGGGCTCGGGGTGAAATAGACACAAAGGGGCTGGGAGAGAAGGAGACACATAAAGAGGCTGGGAGGAATAAGACACACAAAGGGGGTTTGTAAGAGAAACACAAGGGAGGTGTAAGACACACAAAATAGGGGAAAAATAGGGGATAAGATACACTAAAGGTGGTAAGAAATTTTTAAAAGGGGATAAGAAACAAAAGGTGGGTTAAGAGGCACACATGTGAAGATGCTTTTTTGGGGGGGTGCCAAAATTATTTTTGCCTGTGTCCCCAAAAATCCTTGCACTGGCCCTGATAATACTCACTGATAATGTGTTTAGAAACCAATCTATGTAATGCGATAACTTCTTATGGATCTAGAATATTTTTATTAGTAAGTCACCTAGAAATTCTCAGAACAGCCGTGCCCCTGGCCACACCCCTGCACTCACACCTATAACTTTAAAGTGTCCCTCCTTGTCCATTTGAAATGTTGGGCGATATGTAACTGGCAACCTGATAGGGCGTTCAGTGAAGGCTACCAATATGTTAGCAGCAGCTAGAGCTAGGACACATGTATAGAAAAGATGTTGCAACAGAATAT